TCGGGAAATTTTATTTTGGGAATCCGTGTAAAAATTTTTTACAGATATTAAAATCTGTAAATTAGAATATCTGATTCTATATTCTTTCTACATTAAAGGAGCGTTCATTTCGTTCGTTTATCATAAAAAATGTAGAAATCACACCATTTTTAGAAACATGCTTACAATTTCATTGCCCTAGAAGGGCGGGCATTTAAATAAACTCCGTCCAGCTGCCCCTACCAGAAATTAAATGGCCCGTCCGATAAAGGTTAAATAATTCCCAACCTCCTTTCCTACTCTCTATTAACAAATGACCTAACTCAAAGAAACCAAGCATTACTTCCACTTTAACATTACTGAACCTTTAAGTGCTACCAGCAAAGTTTGTTACTAAGTTGTTTGGAAAAACTTCTTTTTAACTGCTGTTGCTCCAAGTTCTACATTAAATAATTCCTAACCTCCTTTCCTACTCTCTATTAACAAATGACCTAACTCAAAGAAACCAAGCATTACTTCCACTTTCACCCTGATAATGGAATGCTACAAATACCAGGTATGGAAATCAATATACAACCAAAGAAAATCATGTCAAATTTTGTGGAATCTGAATTGCAAAGTAAGCAAAACAACCCTGAATCCTCCTTAATATGTAACATAATGCTGATGCATATCTGAGTTTAGTAGTAGCTGCTAGGTAGCAACATGAAACAAATTTTTTTAAAGGTATGAAAGTTAATGTCCTAATTTATAAAACTAGTTTCCCACTATAACAATCGTCAAAGACAAATGCTTCAGTAAATAAAGTACAAAGACATTATTAGATACAGTTTAAAGAATACAACATATGTTTACAATGACCAAAATTCAATAATCTTAAACAGTTCCAGGTAAAATGGTTTTAAATCATTATTGACAAAACCACTACAGATCCTACAAACATGTAGGATATGCATGCAACCAGTTTTAGTAATTAATAATCATATAAGTATAATGTGAAACATTGAAATAAGAGAACACATAAATGACAATGCCAATATAATTGTACAGGGAACAATTTTACTAAGCAGACTGGGTCCACAACTCTGTGCTTCATGACAACTGGCACATTGCTTGTCATGAGGCACATTAAAATTTTGCTGATGAATCAGCACACCTGATGGTTGATAACATTCAGAATGAAGGGAAGTAATTAACGTGCGGGCCACTTGAGGGCATTATATTATATGGTGAGCAGTACTGTTCATGTGTAGGAGTTTGTTTATGATTTGTCAGCAGCACGCAGCAGTTATAACCTCTATTAGCCATTTGTTTTCAGTTTCAGTTAGTGAGGAGTGTGGTATGTCATGGTGCAGTTCACTTTAGAGCAACATGTATTTCTGTATGTTACCCATATAAAATATGGATCTGCTAGAAAGTATTGGCAAAAATTTTGTGATGAAAAAGTTCCCAGCAGACGAACAATTCATAATTTGGTGAATAAACTTAAAACAATGGGACTCTTAATAGACAAAACAAAAACATAAGCATCGAATGCTTACTGAGAAGAAGTTAGATGACACAGGGGCCAGACTTGTACATTTAGAAAATCACTAAAACGTCTAGCTCAAGAGACTGAAGCGTCAAAGTCTTGTGCAAAAATGGCAACACAACTGCTGAAGCCATCTAGTGAAAGTTGGTGTCTGGTGTGCTGTAAATGCAAGGAGGATTGCTGTGCCTGTGTTTCTTTTTGACAAAACAATTAATTGTGAAAAATATCTATGTGTAGACAGGACAGCATTTTCAACACCTCCTGTGGGTTTGAAATTGTGCATGGCATGAGATATATATAACAGTATTGAAAACATCCATGGAAATGCTGCATTCATACCTAGAATGCACTAACTGGAAGCAAAAGCATCATACTCCAATTAAAAGGTAACATGCCATGCCTTTTTCACATTTCTTCTCATAAATTTAAGAGCTGTATACAATAACTAACATAAAAAGTAACATGATAAATGATGTGTAAGTCCACATATTTCACCTTAAATTTACTTTCTACAAGCATACAACATTATGTGATATCTGACACTGAAGGGGCATTAAAATTGGTTGATATCTATGCAGTCCATAATACTATATTTTTCAAACATCATATAAGACCTTACATGATTCTAATCAAAGCAGCAATTTAAATTAAGATAATGTAAGAAATCAAATATTAATCAAGAAACAATATCCAAAAATGAAACTGAATATAATGCAGCTGCCAAATACAAAAGTAAGTCACACCAAACAAGTAGTGGGAGTAATACTTACCACTGATGTGAAGGTTAGACATTTCTGGTGGTGGGGGAAGATCAGGCGTGACAGTGACAGCATGACGAACTTCACCTACTGCGCTCAGAAGCTATCCAAACAAGAAAATTGAAATCAATTCAGAGATGTGTGGTTCTCATGGCTATGAATAGACCATGAATACTGCCTTTATGAGAACATGTAAGAACATGTTTCCTCCTTTGAAATACACAACTTTTAAGTTCCAAATATGCTCCTGATGGTACACTTCTGTAAATATATAATTTCAGATATATATTCAATATAGGAATTAGGTTAACCATCACACAACAAATGTACTTTCTTTTAACGTTTTACAATTAGACTTCTATTCCTGCTACATGTTTCGGTGCTAGAAGACCACCATCAGGATGCAGCCAATGAAGATATAATTTCAGATTATCAAATATCTGTCTTGTAGGATCTGAAGTTCTCTCAGCAGAGATTATGAAGTGTTCTATCTTCTGGGATATAATGCCATGTAGTCTGTTGAATGTTAACCGACATTTCTGAGGAACATACTGTCTCCATCTTCAGGATTGAAGAACATGCCAAGCAACAAACCAATGTGAAGCAGGTAGCAAGCACAGCTCTTGCTTGGCTTATTCTTCAACCCTAAAGATGGAGGCAACATGTATCTCTGAAACATCAGTTGACTTTTAACAGACTGCATGGTATTATATTCCAGAAGACAGAACTCTTCAAGTATCTGTCTTATCTTCCAAAACCTGCCACAGAATACACTATGCTTGAATGATCAGTTGTGACTTTGTGCATAATCAGATTATTATTTTGGTCAGAGGAAGTTCACATGCCACCACCTAGGAACAATAATGGGAGGCTTATTACTGAACAATGGCTGAGTAAAGCTCAATCCTCCTATGAAGACAACAGTCTCTGAATTTTCCTTTTGGCTTTTGTGTATAATATTATTTTGCTCACAAATTAAAATGATCAAATAGGATATTATTTCCAAATACTGTTTCCTTCTGTATTCAGTTGGACATGTATACAGTAAACAATATATACATACTTTCCAAGTTCAGAGATTCAAATATTAAGGAAAGGGGAGATAACTATAGAAGTTTTATCATATATTCTTGCAGCAACTTCTATTGACTGCATGATTCTTAATTCCATACACCATGTCTAGCGAGTGTTTATAGTATTTTGACGGTGACGTTTTTAAACAAGAACTTTGGAATTGTGAAATATATACATAACTCACACCAAAATAATGTGACAAGAACTTCAATCAAGAAACCATAGTTAAATACTAAGAAAATATATGCATCACAGTTTTTACTGTAAATTTTCATTGCATATTCTGTGTCCTGTATACAAAAACAGTATAAAGTCACAAATAAAGCAAGAATACGATGAACTATATGCATGTGTATGATGAATTCTCTCTTTAACAAAGATAAAAAAGAGAGTTATCATAATCTAATTTTTACTTTACATAATTGCATCAGTAGCAATGAGCTGAGTTAGTTTATTCATATTTGAACTTCACATAAAATACAGAAGCCGGTCACGGTAGCTGAGCGGTCTAAGGCATGCACTGTCTTCGATCTCTCGGAAGCCGAGATCGTGGGTTCGAATCCCACTCAGGGCATGTTTATGTGCGTTTTTCTGTGTTTGTCTACACGTAGAGGCCTTGCGACAAGCTGATCACTCGCCCAAGGAGTCCTACCATATGTGTAAGATCTAGTAAACCGAAGTGAAATGGAGAGTTTCATGGAGGTAGGTCTAGGCCCAAAATGAGGGCTGCAGCGCCAAGGGGGAAAAAAAAATACAGAAGGTATGATAACTATATAAATGATTAAGATACATGACAGTGTGATATGTAGTGCTCACTTTTCCCAAAAGAATGAAACCCTGAATGGATGGTCTATAAGTGAAACTTACAGCCTTGTTTGATTCGCGCCATCTGGACACTGCAACAGTGTCTTGTGTGTTGATAGCAACTGCTTTAGCATCCTGTACCATGGGTGTTACACCTGCAATAGTAATTAATCTTAAAACACCCAAAATACAAAACATTTATGTAAAGAAGTGAATTCTATCACAGAAGCCCCAGAAAGATTTAAATCATCTATCTCCAAAATACAAATTGAACCTATTATTGTTTAACTAACCTACTTGCACTATGACAGTTTGTCTAGACCAAATGACTAAACACATTAACTGCAGATCTGTAGATATAAATTTTATAAATGGATAACAAAAATACAGTAAAATGTAAATTACTCATATGTGCATCAGTTTAAAAGGACTTATACTGATCTGTGGAATAACCAAAAAAGAAATGGAAGGTATGTACAGTTAGAAGCTTTCATGGTGGATTAATACACTAAAATCTCTTTGTGTGATTGGCTGTGTCTAGCCTGAGTTAAAAACAAATGTTTTGAAGACCTGTTCTATCTCCATTACTAACTGAATGACCATAAATCACTGATATATACACATCTACCAATGCAATGCTTGATTCTGTTGGTGCAACAGGCGACAGGAAGGTGGAGTCAAATTGTGCTGTTCCCACTCCAACCCTAGACCTGCCACCTTGCCGCTTAACCTGGTGTTCCCATCTCTTAGCTAATTCCCATCAGCCACTGTTTAACATTATCAACCTGGAGCTTATCCCCTTGGATGCTATCCAGCTTATCTGGATCAAAGAACCATAATAATCTGATGATGGGGTTCCATGCTTGGTTAAGTTTTTTTAAACCCTTCTACCCTTTTGATGCTATTGGAGTGCAGCCTTCTTTCTATCACCCCTTTTAGTAGGTTAGCCCATGTAGCCTAAAGTTTTGGCTAGTACTTCTAACTCCCCTTCTGTAAGTTTTAAAACTTTCATCTCTGAGCCACTTCTGTAATCAAATAACAATGAACAAAACTGAAAACTTTCACAATCACTTACTTGCCTGCACCTGATCTGAAGCATTGTTTACACGGGAGATGAACTGCGGATCTTCTGAGTTGTCAGACTCTTGCTTTGCAACCATGAGGACTCGGTTTGCCAGTCTACATGAACATATTTCCAAATATTTTAAATATAAATATATTCACAATATACAGACTTCAACATGTCTAAATATCTGCTTGAGTTTAAGCCAAGGAAAATGCTACACTGAATTATTTGAGATTTTCCTCAGTCCTCCCAGAGGATAGTACTATGAATATTATGGCTGCTGCATACCCCAACCTTTCAAAATTCACTGTTCATGATCACCATAAATTTAAACTAATACCAAACAGCATTTGAAGTTCATATGCAATTAAGTAAGAACAAATATATTTTTCAACATTACAGAGAGGATATGTCCATCTATCTCTATGATACTTACCTCTAAGAGATTTTGACATTTCATATTCACAATTCATTATAAACACAAAGTCAAAACAAAGGAATTATTCTGAATAATAAATACTGCTGGTAAAAAGGAGAATTGTCCACTTCTATGGCAATAAGTTCTACAAAACATTTAACATTTCTAAATTAAATTGTAATTAGAAGATAAGCAACATTTATTGGCATTTAGAAAGTTGTAATAACAGACAAAAACAGAGTTTAAAAATAATCACACAAAACAGGTGTGGAAAGAATGCACAGAAAGAAGTACTCACAGAAGACGACAAATATAAAACAACAGACAGGATAATACCAGTATGGTTTCTGACAATAGGGTTTATACAAGTGACTGTACCATTTATCAAAATTGTGGCTGATACAACTGCAGGAGTTAGAAAAATATGGTAATAAGAATACAGACTTAAAAGATTTAGTATGTGCTGATGACATAATGGAGAAAAAAGTTTATTAGCATTACAAATCAACAGATGGGAATGTTTTGATTTCTTTTATTCTTGTACCAAGTTTTTGAAGGTGCCCTAGATTTATAAGAAATTTGCAAAGCCCTGGACATATGTATAATGAATTCATCATTAACAATTTTTTACTAACTGTTACTGATTTTCTGCTTTAATCATTCAACATACCAATATCTATAAAAGACTTCTATAAAGGCTGTTAACTGGAAAACTAATTGAGACATTTTTATTTAATTTTTTGCTGTTTATTCCTATTGCAGTGTTCAGAACAACCCATAACATAACGAACATACATCAAGAACTAGTGAGTTTTAAACTACTTCGTGTGTTAGTCTTTTACTCCAGTTTGATATGTCTACACATTTATTCTTACACATATGGACATGCAGTGAACTGTGAGTGGAACATGGGTGGGACTTATGAGCATGAAGCAAAGAGTGGGCAGTACTTTTACTTGTAAAAGACAGCACCAAATTAGCAATAAATTGCAAGTTGAAAAGGTTATGTAAGTTTAAGAAAATCCGTAACCTTTAAGTTCAGACACTGCAAATGATGAAGAGAAAGTTGAATTATTCTGTTATTTTTATATTATCATGATACCCACTCCAAACATGAAGAAACATTGCCACACCATGTATTATTACTCAAACCTTAGTGTCATATTGCTCTACATGTCACATGTTTCAGTGACTCTCAATGGGGTTTTGGATTGGCTATTGGATTTACTGACCACTTGACCCATAACTCATAATTACACCTAATTATAGCACCATCGCTAATTTCCACACTTTACAAATCACATGCTAAGTCTTTTCCAGCCCTCAGTGTCTTAACTATCAGTTGCCTGGTAATGGCTTTAACAAAGGCTATTCTTCTGCTTCTGTGCACAAGTCCTTTCTGAACGGTGGCTCCCTTACCAACTGCTACTAAGTCTTCACTTCATCCCATTTATATCTCCTTGGCATGGCCCACAATAGAGATCACCATTTCCAACAGTACCTCTATTGCGACGTGTGGACTGTTGCTGCAGAAACCTGTTTGTTTGTCATCATTGCCTAGAAACGCCTCGATACGCTACACTGCTCCTGTCTTATGGCCATTCATTCCAAATACCCTACAGAATTACTGCTATTTGTTCTTTTCCATGGGCTGTGTTTGCAATATCTGTGACTGGTCTCACCTTCCTCCCAGTGGCTAATTTCTCATGATGATTACTCTACAATCACTCTGCTGTTCCCTTCTTAAGACCACTCATGCGGCCTCTGTAGTCTAGGGGTAATGTTCTCACCTCATGACTCAAGGTATGCGGGTTAAAACCCGGTGGAGGTCGTGGAATTTTTAAGGGCGGAAAAATTCAGGGAACTAGTCCTCCGGGAGGGACTTTAAGCCATGTGTCCCGTGTCATACATTTACGGCACGTAAAAGATCCTCATGACTCTAGGAGACCTCTGAGCAAAATTAGGCAAAGTTTCCTGCCCAAGTAGTTTCCAATTCCTCCGGTAAATGGGGAAGTATCGGGGACCACTGCCAGAGAGGGCGGACCTCGTTGGCAGAACGGGGCTGATACCGAGCACCAGTACTGGAAGGGCATGGTGACTGGTAGAATAATTAAAGGGGGATGCACAATAGATTAACAACTAGTCGCAGTGCATGGGGAAACCCACCCCCTCCAAAATAATAATAATAATAATAATAATAATAATAATGACCACTCATCCCAAGCAGCTCCCTCATAAGGTGCTAGTCAGTCCAGGTGTACTACCATCATCCTTCTTTTCTGCTCAGTGCAGGCAAAAGTTCTGAGAGTGGTCAATGCTCCTACTTTTACAGCTTTTACGCTGTTATAAGTGGACTCTTCTTTTGTTTAGGAGGGGGCCGACCCCTCCACACTGTCCATTCACTCATTTTTCAAATCTGACTGATGGCTTGACTTTTCACTTCACTATCATGAGCAAGAGACCCTTCCTGAAGATCCTGCCAGATGTCCTCTTGCTTCCTAGACACATCTGCTCCTTTAAGCCTCGGTCTCTTATTCCATTGCTGCATTCCAGGCATGTCCACTGTCTCCTCTCAAGTGCTCATCCTTTAGAAGTTCCTCTTGCAACATTGTCCCTGGTCCGATTTTTGCATCAACTCTATTTGACCATCGGTTCTGTATGATCACATCCTTTATACTGTGCCACTCCTGCATGGCGATCATTCCTCTGCAGGCAGCAGACGGTGCTGGCAGTGCTCCATGGCTAGATGCTGGTCCCCATACTGCTCCTTCAGTGCTTTGACAGTTTTCATTGTGGCCTCTTCTTTAGGGACTTCCTGTTGCTCTGACTTGAACACTTTTCTTCTGGAATTTCCTCCAAATCTATGACCTCTGTCTCTTCTACATGGCTCTCCATTTTCTTCAGCTGAGTCTGTCCTGGCCATCATCCTTTTGTGATGGCATCGTTTTTGCTTGGCTGACATCTATTTTTCCTTGATGTTATGTATCACAGCTTAGAGCCCTCCTGTGACGGCTATCAGACATTCAAAATCCACAACACTTATCCGTCTCCAGGGTTCAACTCTGACGGTGCACATTTCACAACTCAATCAAACTGATTAATGGATACAATTCAGTCCCACTTCTGACACCAGTTGTTACATGTTTGAGTGACTCTCAATGGGGTTTTGGATTGGATATTGGGTTTATTAACCATTTTAATGTACAAATCATAACTACACTTGATTCTAGCACCTGCAGTGCCTTCACTAGACATTTCCTGGTAACGGTTTCTAACAATGATGTCTATTGCTTAGCTTCCATGCTCAAATTCTGTCTGAATGGTACTTTCCTTCCAACTACTCCTAAGTCTTCACTTTGGCCCTCAGCAACAGTTCACTATAGAAAACACCATTTCCAACAGTACCTCTATTTTTGTGCGCATACTGTCACTAAGTGAACGTCACTGTTTGCAATTGTTACCTAGAAATGGCTGTACTCATTACAATTGGAAGTCAGAGTAGAATAATTATTTCAATCATTTTCAGATATTATGAGTATTCACTAAAACAAACGTTTTTCTTCAATTTATGAACTCTCATAACATCAAGGTTGCACTGTACATTATGCATGAGCTAAAACTTTCAATAATACTGTAAAAGACAGAGCTAATAATGCATTTGATATGGTTCAGTGAATGTCTGAGATGAAACATTTGTTGGCTTGACAGAGAGATGTCTTGTATTGCACTGCATAGAAATAAGTACCATAACCATAAGTTAGTAAACAGAGGAATATTCAATTACTGGATAAAAAAAAATATGGTCCCTTATTTCAATGCTTCTGGTTGGTCACTGATGTATGATGACATACAAACACTAAACCAATGACGAACAGAACATTCTAAGTTTTTCTGTCCAAAGGGGACTTATTGGATTGAAATGTTGATAGAAAATATTTTCTAGCCTATATTCACTGAAATCTCTGCAGGATTTAGCACTATTCCCCAAAATCCTAACATACTGTAAGTTATCAAATAATTTTCATCTTATGACCTGGGGCAAACTGAATTTCAAGTGTAATATCTTATGGGATATAACAACATGCAGTCTGGTAAAAGTTTACAGACACTTCAGAGGAACATATGGCCTCCACCTTCCAGGTCAAAGAGGAAGCCGAGCAAGCAGTAAGTTGATGACTCTGAAGATGGGGATAGTATGTTCCATGTAAATGCAGCTGACTTTCTGCTGTGCTATACAGTGTCATACATATCATATATAGGGGATGGACAAAAATATGGAAACACCCTGTGAAATGCATGCCTGAATTTAAGTGTTTATTTTAGCCACGTTTGTAGGTGACACTGTCTTGTCTGCCCAATATAACTACCTGTACAACCTCCGCAATATGTCACAAGCTTCATTTGTTGTCAAGACAGTGTTCTGTGCAGTTTTTTAGTGCATCATGTCAGAGCTAACAGAATTCGAAGGCGGGCAAATTGTTGGGGCCTGTACGGTGGGTGCTTCCGTAACCAAGGTAGCTGAGGTTTTTGGTGTTTTGCAAGGCACATTATCCAAGATTATGATCGCATACAGGAGGACTGGAAAAACCGCATCCGATAAACATCAGCGTGGACGGAAATGTGTCTTGAGTGATTGAGACAGATGAACACTACACAGGATTGTGACGAAAAATAAGAAGACTACAGCTGCAAAAGTTGCTGCTGAACTGAATGTCACACTCACAAACCGTGTCAGCACCAAAACAGTATGAAGGGAACTCCACAAGCAGGGTATTTCTGGACGAGCTGTAATTCCAAAGTCACTCATCAGTGATCAAAATGCCACTAAGAAGAGAGTGTGGTGCCAAAGTCATAAAATCTGGACTAAGGAGCAATGGAAGATGGTCATTTGGTCAGATGAGTCCACCTTCACACTGTTTCCAACTTCTGGCTGATTTTACATCTGAAGAACGCCATCCCAAGCTTACGATCCAGATTGTTTGCTGCCAAGAGTGAAACGTGGCTGGGGTTTGATCATGGTATGGGCAGACATATCGTGGTATTCTGTCAGACCCATCATTACCCTGCAAGGTCACGTCACTGCCAATGGTTATGTGACCATTTTGGGTGACCAGGTCCATTCCATGGTGCAAACTTTGTTCCCCAGTGGTGATGCCATTTACCAAGACGACAGTGCCTGTGTTCACACAGCTCACATTGTCCAGGACTGGTTTTCTGAGCACTAACATGATGTGTCACATCTGCCATGGCCCCCACAATCACCAGATATCAATATTATTGAGCCTTTGTGGTCTGTTTTGGAGAGCAATCTGCATGCATGCTATCCACATCCATCACTGTTAACAGAACTTGCCAATGTTTTGCAGGAAGAATGGTACAAGATTCCCTTGCAAATCATACAGGACCTCTATTTATCCATTCCAAGGAGACTGCAGGCAGTTCTGCAAGCCTCAGGTTGTCCTACACCATATTAGTCATGGTAATGTGTTTTTTGTTGGGTGTTTCCATATTTTTGTTCATCCCCTGTATCATTTATTATCATTCAACATTCCATACATACAGGTATTACAACCATTTGGATAAGGAAATTGTCAGTTTTACATCTAATTCTTGTGCATATCTTTACAGTATACACTGTACCACCCTAATATAGGGGGTTTGTCATCTGAATAATATTATCTAGATCTAGTTATCATTAATTTCATTCTTTACACAAATACAACAAATTAATCAGCTATATATTACATTTACACACTTGAAAAATCAAAAGACATAAATTAATCTACAGATCCCAAGAGATGATACTCTTCATAGCCACTGCTGTTAGGATCTAAAATTTAACACACTGAACTCATGTCAACATGACCATATCAGACCTCAAGTTACTGTATATGTGAGATATATACCTTGCAATGCTTGCAGTATTGTCAACCATCTTTTGTGGTTGGGTCTTGCGAATTGCTTCTTCACACAGGACTGAGTGCTTCTGGATCTGTTCCTCTGTAATACAGACATGATACAAATTTTATCAGCCATTCTATACCTACATTTTATATTAAATTATTTAAAAGTTCACTGTGGACAGCACATTTGGCTGATTCTCTAGTGGTCTGTGACAATGGTCTATTTAGTATAAAATATTATACTGGATATTACCCACCCTTTAGGGTATATTAAAAATATACCACAAACAATGGGCAATCTCTGACATAATGTTTGTATGCAGCATATCTTAATGTCCTATGTCACCAATATTTCCATACAGCATTATTATTATTATTATTATTATTTTTCCTCTTCTTCTTCTTCTTCTACTTCTTGGCAGTACTTTATCCTTTCATGCTATCCACTTCACACAGTTTTACATCAGCAGGTATTAAAACAAATTATTAAAGGAAAGTCACATCAAATTCTCTTCTTCCCATTTACTTTCACTGTTAATATCAAATTCAAATTTGTAAAGCCGCTGCCTAATGAACACCATGAACATCCATATGTAATCAGGCATGTAAGATAAGAAAAGTTATCCTTGAGCTTAATTAATTAAGCACCATGCCATGAAGACAAATGGGGGAGTAGAGGTATAGCTCTTCCATTTTTGACCTGAGCACTAGATTAGGCACCAAGTTAGGCATGTAGAAGTCTCATATTTTCAAGATTGAATAAAAAAAATAAGAATATCATACTCCTAATTCAAATGCCGATTTTTCAGTCTTGAACCTGAAAAATTTTCAGAAAACTTTTGCCTTGCACATTAGCATTAAGACTACCAAATCCATCAGAATTATAATGGTTGGCAACACTAGCAAAAATCAAATTATCAAGAGAATCTGTACCTCTCCTTCTTTTCACTCACAGTGAAAAAGGACATGGCCCTAAAAATGAATCTCTTAAATAGTGATTTATGAAAATGTATCATTCAAAAGGATCCGATGTCAAAAGGGATGAGCAGCATCATTTAAAGTATCGTGGAAATGTTGCTAGTGTTATAAATCATGATTACAATGAAAACATTATTCTAGTACAGAAAATTCTTGTTTTATCTTGAATCTTGAAATTTACAAACATTCTTGGCTTGACCTGAAAAATCATTATCATGCATGCATAAACCTATCTACCTTAAAGCAATGAAATGTATTAACCAAATACTAGAGATGACGACAAATAAACATTCATGAAATAAAGATACTACTCACATTCATAACATATTTTTAATATCCTTCAGAATATTCTTCTTGCTTCCCAAAATATACATTTAATTCACATTTTTAACTTAAAGACAAATGAAAAACATCCTAGGTTCTACTAAATATGAAAGATATTATATTGTATTATATTATATTGTTTTGCTACTGAAGACGCCGTTTGGACTGTTAACTGGTTTATTTAGCAACCTACAAGTCATAGCTACAATTAATTATGACACTGTTATGGGTTTACACACTTTAGAAACCCTACTCAATAATCTCTTCAGTAGTCTTCACGTACCTATAACTCGGGAGCTATAAAAGTCTCTCTTAATTACACACTCCAAATATAACTCTACTACAGCACACAATCTTGAAGTCACACCATAAGTCTTCACTTGCTGACTTCTCCGTTATCGCCCTCTATAAAATCTTCTAACCACGCGTCCAGTTTTCTTTCCATGACTGCTGCTATATTCCAACTGTCTTCGGCAGCTGCTACATTTTAACTGACTCTTTAGTCAGAGTCAGAGTCACGTTACCACTGACGGTTCTCTTATAAACCCTCAGCCAGACAACGGGAAAACGCCTCGCTTCCTTGTTGTCTAGTCCTGTTTACCGACTGCCTAGCAACAGTCATTGCACAGGCTCACCTGTTGCATGGCGTCACAGTGGGAAGCGCTGCCACATCACCGCAGGGGAGGGGAGGGAACGCTGACCGGCCTGTCACCATAGTAGCGGCAGCGCTGTTACGCCACCACTGGCTGGGGAGGGGATGTTCAGCATAGTGCAAATACATCACAATATCTTAAGACCATCCTTAGAATGAAAACTACATGCCAGTATTTTCGTTTCTTCCAGTAACCAAAGAAAAACATGGATATGCTGTACCATGATTGTAATCCCAGTTCTACATCTGTTTCTTGCATTTTCTTATTTCTGAAAAAACTGCTAACTCCTTTAAAGGCAACCTTAAGGAAACCCATAACACCAGTGACACAATTATATATGACTGAAGAAAGGCCTGGCTATAAGAAGAATGTATCAATTTTCAAAACAATAATTCTTTCTTATAATAGCTGATCCTCCTGATCCCTGCAGCCTTAAATCTTGTCTGTGATACTGGTTTTACAAAACTAGGCACTGGACCTAGCACTCACCTGACATCTTAATAAAATCTGAGGAGTCCGTTGCTTCATCACAAAGTGCTCTAACATGCTGAATTGAGTCTGAATACTGAGCAACAAGGTTTTGAAAGTGCTCATCAGCAGCCTTACTCTCTGGATAATTCATCCTAATGCGGCCAGCACTCACCAGCTGTGGTGTCAAACTCTCCACCTGCATCACACATATATTCACGGATACAAAGAAGATTCATACAAAAATAAAAATTATGAAATAGCAGAAACATATGTCTAAATAAACTTGTGGGTACAAGTGATCAAAAAGACTTGCTATCTGGTGATTCTGATGGTATCAGCATCTGATGAGACAGGGGAGAAAAATTTTCAAACTAGAATGTTTTTCACACTTCAATGTACGTAGACACTTCTTTTCAATTTATATTAGTAAATAGGTCTAAATTCAAGAATTGCATTGAAGTGCTGTACTTATTGAACCCTGAAGATGAATTAAATATCATTGAATATCCCAGCACCTTGATATTTCAGATGCATTTATTACACAGAAACCAGGGAGCAAGTTTAATTACATTTTCAATTTCCAGATGATGCTTTGGAGCAAAATCATGTGATAATTGGATGTAGGTAGTTTAAGAGAGTTTCAAGGAATGGAATCCCTCAAAACAAGAATTTCTGTGCAATAGAACAATCCAAAATTTGCAAACGTATCTTGTCTGACTATATTTTTGTATGCATCACAAACCCTAAAGTACCTTGCTATTACGTCCTGGACTGGCTTCAACTATTTTTCCAATTCATGTTTATGTTTACGTTCACTCACTATCTACAATTCAGGACCTGTTTGGGCCCCCAGGGCATTGATTCCTTTACTGAAGACTGAGCACCACCTGAACTGGACTCAGTTGTGGTATGATTTTTAATGATCCAAATCCTCCAAACCTCATTCAAATTTGTTTGTGTGGTTTGAAGTTTTCTACAAGCAAATACGCACACAAACAAAAAAGGCCCTGAAAAGAACACAGTTTAGAATACACAATATAATTTATTATTGCTTTCCTATGGATAGAATAACAACTTAGGTACTGATCACCCCTATCCTAACTCTTCACATATTTACTGTATTCTAGAACACAACTTGGCTACTTTATTACCTCCTGTTTCCCTGCCTTACTTTCTCAATTTCACCAATATGGACTCATGAACTGTAGTAATCAAGCACACCACCTGCTAGTTTTTTTTTCAAACTGAACAAAATATCACCCTTTCTACAAAAACAAGTCATTCTTTCATCAAGGTATTTGCTGCTTTCTCAAGATCTTGAGGAATTTCTCTTATTAGCCCTTATGGTACCAAAAACTCTTGTTTTTCTTTCCAATAAACTTTCACACAATGTTATGTCATTATAAAAATTGTCCTCACAAATATGGTGCTTTAGACCCATATTATTTTGAAAACTCACAGAACTGGCTTTTCCAACTTGGTGCATTTACTCAATCTGCATTCGGTTACAAGTAAAGTAGTTTTTCTCTGGAACATGAGCATAACCTTGGTAAAGGAACTATTAGGACACCCTGTACCATATAAACAGGAATAAACTGAGGGGAACAAGACTCATATGCAAACCTGAGAAGCAGAGCTAAGCAAAGCCTCAGCCAACTTCTTGTTGCCAGAACTTCCACCAGCTGCAACCATGCGTGCTGTCTTTGCTGCTCGAGAACTAAACTGTTGCAGTTGTTGTGCTCTGTCATTGAAGTTTTGCTCCCTGCCTGGAGTGCCTAAAACATAAAAAATTTGCAAATATAAAAGTTTATTTGTCCTTTCCATGCCACAAATGAGACTTCTTGCTCCAAAATGTTGGTTAGCTCATTTCTGAACAACTTAAGTGTTTTTAATATCAACAAAAATAAATTTTCTGCCTATCTCTTTATACTTTAAACCAGACCACTGTCCCCTTTATTCCATAAACTCATCCCCTGTGCCCCTTGCCCTACCCTATAAAAAGCAAGGAAGATAATGACAATAGAATAAGATTTCACATTTAGTAACTATTCACTGCTAGTAAATTCTTAATGTGATGGATGGGCCTGATTAAGTGATATGTTTCCCAGTGCCTAGTATAGTATCACTTCAATCATAAATAAATGAACGACGCACTTGGAGGGGCCCACCTCTGGTGGCCCCTGTCACCCCCTTGCCTCTTAGCGCCACTCCCCTGGTAATCCTACTGCCCACCCGGGGTGGGTGGGGGGGTGGGGGGTGGTACAGCCACTTTGGTAACCACTTCTTTAGATTACCTATTTATGTTTTTCACCAATGAAAGCCCTAAACAACAACGAAAATATATAAACAATTAAAATTTTCTAAATATTAAAAAGAGCATGAAAAGGGTTAAACTGGATTAGCAAAGCAGAAAGCACATCCAAAAGATGTTTCACTGTAAAAGAATATGTTCATTCCTGTATGATACATCACACTAAAAAAGTAACACCAAGAAGAAGACTCCTTCTTGAGAAGCTAATGGTCACTCATGCAATCAAACAATTCCCCACCTTCTATGGCATCTTTAGGTTCACAGAAGTTCTCCACTGTACTTTGTCCTTGGCCAAAAGATCCATCCATCAGCCTTAACCAGAATTCTGTATGGATTTATACTCTTTTCATCCTTGGTTTGACATCCTAATCATATTATTGTAAAGTACACTTGTGTTTCTAAATTATTGTTCACACTAGTCAATTGACATATAACCTTACATCAACGATGTTTCATGATAACTGAGATATTGTAGTTTTCCAGTCACCAGTACTTAGTCATACATGTTTCTAATTAAATTTGTTTTGCTTCTTGACAGTCATATCTATAAAATCAGTTTTTAGAGTAATAAAAATATTTAAAAACTTATAAATAATAAAAGATATGCCTGTAAGCTCATTCAGGGATAGTAAATCTTGCTCCTTAATACCAGATTTACATCAAATGTTACCAATATGAAGAGGTTCCAGCTATCCCCACCACCCCAGTACTGCCTAGTAGACTTCAATAGTGTTGTATTTTAGCATCCTGTTGCACTGATTCTCATCCATGATATGTATGTAATGGCCGTCTTGTAGTGCACTCAATTTCACATGTCACTTCAGTACATGTTTCGGCAACATTGTGCCATCCTCAGGTGCTTTATTTACGCTAAGCTATTGCACTGCTTGCCATCATGTGTCTTGTGATGTGTCCTTCCTTTTTGGCTGCGAGCGTTGTAACGCTCGCAGCCAAAAAGGAAGGACACATCACAAGAAATATATGAAAAACGACTCCCATAGTGGAAGAACCATATAATACGCGAGTTTGAATTACGATGCATAAGATGAATAATCTTAACAAGTTTTAGTGTATACAAATTTTATTATAGTTGGTGAAGAATGTACATTTTAATAATCTTATGAAAGACACATGATGGCAAGCAATGCAATAGCTTAGCGTAAATAAAGCACCTGAGGATGGCACAGTGTTGCCGAAACATGTACTGAAGTGACATGTGAAATTGAATGCACTACAAGACAGCCATTACATACATATCAGAGACTTCAATAGGATATCTACCACTGCACATTTACTAGACAGTTCTTCAGTTCTCAGCTTGTATGTGATTTCAGGAGCAACACAAAATGCACTCATTTCATTTGAAAAATGGTTTCCTAAATCTGAATTTATGTCCTTTATAGTATATAACCTGGACAGTGGCATATTTGATATCAGTGCCAATGGTTCACCGTCCTTACCATATACTCTTACATCACATGTACTTTATCTACTCTCTCAATTCTCACACTTCCCCATAATACTGCACCTATAAAATATGGACTGTGATATACACATGCTGACACTCAATAAAAATTATCATTATAAAATAAAGCCAAGTTACAGAGGCTACAGATGGCCAATACATAGATCACTCTGATGTGAAAAGGTTAATATCTGTGTGACAGCATCGTCTAGGTTAGACCAGTGTACTATAGGGTAATGCCAGCTGAAACCTTAATTAATGACTGAACTAGGAAGTCATCTGTTCACTGTTGTTTGGTAGTTATATTTAGATGCACAGCATACACATAGAAAACCATCTTTTATGGTTTCTTTGGGGAAATGGAGGGGAGGGTTGTTGAGTGTGCCAGGTTAATCATACTAACCAAGAGAGGGGAGACACAATAATGTAGCACACAATCCTCATCCTCTTTCTTTATACCCCTCACAGTAGGATGGCATTCAACTGACCTTGAGGAACATGGACAGCATCAGTGAAGTGTTTCAGTGGGGAGCTAATGTCAATGAAGTCTTCCACCACACGGCTAACAACCGCATTCTGTATGCGGTCTTTCAGCTCATACAGCTTCTGGGATAGAGTCCTGGCAACATGATTAATAGTACTACAGCTCCATTGTAGCTACTCAGCAACTGTGCTACAGAAGCAAATGACATATTGAAAACAGAATCGGTGAAATCTAGATTTAACATTTTCAGAGTTAATCTTTTTCTGCAACATACACAAAGGAAAATACCGAAATAGATCTTGTATAAAAGTGGGGAGTGGATTCTACTGCCTCAGGACAGGGTCTATCATCAAACTTTTGTGAATACAGCACAGCACTTTTCAGTTTTATAAATGCAGGGACTTTTCTAATGAATGAAATAACTATCAACTTTTCAACCAAAGCTCAGCACAGTGCACTTAGTTAACACAAATAATGTTAATGCAAACTGGATAAAACTGAGTTCTTCTTTAAATTATGTCTATTTTCAATTGTATTCCTGTCCTCAATTTTTATGAACTTATACATAATCTCATTTAGTGAAATTTAATATATACCAATGCCTTAGTAGCTTCTGTAACATCTGTAAATACAAAATGCAAGATACAGTTTCATGATGGATCCAGTTTTAAAAATATTTTATACAATTACGTACAATAATTAGTGATGTCATGAATCCTGTATGCTGAGTTTCAGATGAACAAAAACTCTCAAAATATCTAGTGGATATTTTATAACAAAGTACAGTGAAACCTGGATTTTACATTTCTGCAGGGACCATTTCAGATGAATGTAAAATGAAGGAAAAGATTATTTATGTAGCCACTGAAATTAAATATGATACATTTATTAATGATAATTAATATAAAAGGTAATTTAATGTACTGAATTAAAAAGTGAACTATTTCACTTCTTCCACATGTCCATTAAAGTAAGCTGCTGCTTCTTTGCTTTCTCCTGAACCCAGTGTATGTCGTTCCCAATACCACTGAGGGCACCCATCATGTTATCATTGACACCAAACTTCATGAGTTATTTGCTTACAGCATTGATGCCCTCCAGTCCTGACTAAAATTCTGCTGGAGGTTCACTTTTTCCATCTTCCTCCTCTCCGTCCTTCACCTCAGACAAATCAGATGTAAACTTCTCTTCCATAATTTCTTTTATGCCTGTACCTAACATAGTTCATCATAATTATCACAGCATACATACTCTCGAAGTTATACACCTGCTTTTAGCAGACCCCAGTCATCTTTGGCTGTTCTGCCGTATCTTCCCCAAAAGTGACTTTACTGAAACTGAATCCACATTTCTGAACACAGTTCACAACTGTATGAGTGACACAGTACCAAGATTCCACAGCAACACGTTGTGCACCAAAAACACTTACCTTCATGGGTGCTGCATCAAGAAGAAACTTGTAATGAGCCATGGAAATAGTTTCTCTTACAAACTGCTTGCTGTAATAATGCTTGATGACCTGATTATACCCTGGTCAAATGGATGGACAATGCTATTGCAGTTGGAGAAAGAAACACAACTTTCACATTTTTTAGGTATCTTGTGTCTTGAGACTAAGCAACACACTAGACAATAAAAAACATGATCTTTATTTCTGGAACTCATTTTGGCACTTAATACCCATAAATTGTGAGTAAAGATGGCCTGTGTAACCCATGCTTTTCTGTTGATTACATATTGTCACAGGATTGAGTGACTACAGATGGGGTTTGGCTCAGTAACTGGACTTACTGAACTCTCACAAGTCATAACTACAAGTAAGAATTATGCTCTCACTGTTCTACACACTTCAAAAATCACTACAGGACACATCAAGTCTCTCAGCCTGTTACAGTCTTCAATATATGCTGCTTGATTGCAGCTTTACAACAACAGAGATACTCAAACTGTCCCCAGCCTCAGCTGCCAGCTTCTAACAGCAACAGCGCACATTAACTGAACCCTAGCAGTTATCTGACTCACTGACTGCAACAGTTACCTGGTCATGCTCATAACATTTCAGCACAGACTGCAGAGAAAACACTGTCCCTCTGATGCAGTGTAACTGTTGCTTAGTGATGGCCTGATGTATTCAACTGTTGCATGCATAGCCATTGGCACAGACTGCGCAGAAAACATCATTCCTCTGTTGTTTACAGGCATCTGTCAAGTAATGGTCGGCTGTTGTTACTCCACAATTCTTGCTTCAGCAAATATGCCACAATATTTTGTGGGCAACTTTATAACATTTTCAAAGCAATGAGGGTTTTCACTCTCACTAATAAACTATGGTGGAAGTTCGTCAGTCTTATTGGCATTGTAGACTAAGAGAAATGTTATCCTCCCCTTGGAATTCTTTCTACAATTGCAAGGATCCCCTTTCAAACTCAATGTCTTGTTAGGTGGAAGCCTGAAGAGCAGCCCATTCAATAGCACTGGAGATATTCTCAGGTTCATAACCGTAAATAAATTTGAGCAACTGTTCCTTTCTCTCTTCTCCAACTGTCAAAGAGCCTACACTTTTACATTCTACCAGTTTTGTATACAACACTGTGTCACTGGTTGAAACCATCAATCCAGCCAGTACAAGTTCTAAAATCTTGAATACCCAACCCTGTGGCAATGTGTATAGATTTTTCTCTCAGCAGTGTGCCTCTGATTACTGCATTGTTGCCTCTAGATTCTTTAAACCATGCAGCCAACATACTCTCCAGTTCTGGAAATGGTGACTGTTTCAGGCCCTTCCTTTGACCAGAAAACCTGCCACATTTTGTGCAACACTTTCAGTGTCTTCCCTGTTTTTAACATTAGTGTTCAATATTTACAGCACAGTTCCTAGTTCGCAGCCAATGCAACACCTTCCCTTATTGGCATCCATTTGTGCCAGAATGTTANTATTGTGATCTAGAGCTTTCTCCTTCAAATGACAGTATCCTCTTCTGTCCCCAAGGTCATCCAGCATCTTCTTATGTCTTCTTCCTCGTCTTCTTGTCACTTCTATCCGCCCATCTATCTTTCCTTCAATAACTTCTTTTAAAAGGCATTTTCTGAGTAAAACATGACCAATCCAATTAGCCTTCCGTTTTCTTATTTCGTGTAGGATATTCCTCTGCTCACTGACTCTAATTAACACTTCTTCATTTCTCACATATGGTTCACTCATTTTAATGAAAATGAATTGTAACCAGAAATTAAAATAAAACTGTTTACTAGTTTAATTCACAGTAGTGTCATGAAGTAACATTAATATGGCAACTTAATAAGAACGTGAAACTTGTTTATTAATCTACTGCAAACTGTACTGACAAAACAGTTTTATTTTATTTTCTGGCTTGATATATTTTAAGAGCCCACACTAACACAGCAATTTAATAACCACATGGAAATTTCAATCACATATGACTCGAACTGCAAGTTTCCTGTCACTACAAAGGTTTGGCAATGATAGGAAATATGGCTCCACTCTGCTGGTAGGACCTTGAAGTGACAGAATAGTAAATGTATGCGAAGGCAACAGAGATAGGAATCTACAACTGAAAATCATATTTTTCCCAATTTCAAATTAAAAGTACTTGCAATTTCAGTAAAAGGCTGATTTACTCTCAATAAACATATGATCAAGGAACTTAAGAAGCACAAACATACTGTCACAGGTTAGATGAGTAGACATGGGGTAGGGCTGATAACTACACTTTGCAAATCACTGTCACACACAGAATAATGGTCCCCGACACAATCTTTCTTCACTGTGCTGCCAGGTAACATCTTCCAACAGTAGACATTCCTCTGTTCCTGGACTCACACCATCACAGGCTGGCAGCTCCTAGCTCCTTTCTGGCTGACATCTATCTCACAACTAACTCGACATTGCCATGCAACAGCTTACAACAGTGGGGTTCCTCCACCTCCCATGCCTCCACCAGGGGAAAATGTCTACAGTGACTTCTGATGAGTCTGTCTCCCAACTGCTAACTGCAGACTCACTCACAATCTGGACTGCTCTGCCATCTCAAGACTCAAGAGTCTTGCTTGTCCCACTGATCCATGTGATACAGCCTCAGGAGGGACCCAAAAGAAAATGCCACTTCCAACAGCTCTCCTGTTGTTGCATGACATCAATGCTGTCGCAGAGAAGTGTTTATTGTACCATTGCCTAGCAACAGGTGACATACATTTAATGATGTGGTGTGAAGCATTCAACTGTTGTAAGCACAGCCATAGTCACATAACATCTACTGAGCCACTGCCTAGCAAACATATGTGTTTACAGAGCCGTTCCGACCCAAAAGCCATCTTTGCTGGCTTCATAATTCTGACTCTCAGCAGACATGTGACACTTTATTCCATAATAATTTAACACTGTTCTTATGAAAGTTTTGGCAGAACTGATAAAAACACATGTAGATGAAAAACACAGATTCAAGGAATGTAAAATCAAGGTTTACTGTATAAATAAATGTTCATAATGATACACTTTGTTAATAATCATGCAATATTGTTCTTCAACCACTGTACTCTCCATCATCTTGAAACATAAAGAATATAGCACACAAAACATTTGTCTATCGACAACCTATTTGAGAAATTTATGACTAGTAATGTACCAACTTTGTCACCTCTGGCAGATCATAAGTTAAAAGCATACACTTACTACATAAGCTTGTGATGAGTAATAAATTAACTACTCATTTGATATACCTTGCAACATCTTGAGCCTGAGGGGTGTCTCCATGGCCTCGTCGACATAAGTCACTCAGCTGTCGTGACAGAATATCCACTTCATCACACAAGCCTAAAATTTCTGCTTTATGTATTCCTGGCAGCCCATCAGCCACCTGTGGGCGAGGAAACAGAAAATGATAATTTACATCATATTTATAGTACAATCATAAGCTACACACACACAACAAATTACAGTATAAGCAGACCTAATACATTTATCAAACACAATAACGATGCAATACATAACATGATCAACAGTGTACTACACCTGGTTGCCCTTACTTTAGCCATATGTAACTACCAGTGTAAAGTTTATGTTAACATAACAGCACTAGCTTTGGAAGAATCCCAAGAACAAGAGAAAACTCTTGCCATACCATATGACCATTAATTTGGGTTTCTTCATTATACACTGCCTTATAAGTCCTTCTCATGTTAGTGTACAGAGTGAGGTCACCCTACTCACTTTCCTTCATAAGATATTAATAACAAATGATTCGTAGGACAAGACAGCCTGTAGGCTTCGTTACTATTATCTGGAACTTCTTGTTACTGCAGTCACAAATGTTCAGTCAGCTGAGTACATATAATGGACAGACTCAAGTGCAAAACAGAAAAATTTATTTCACATGATTTACATTGAGCTAAAGTACATTCAGTAGGAAAGAAACGAATAAGGAGTTATCCATACATAGAAACAAAGTCAACTGCAGCAATTTGAAAAGAAAGAAAGTTTGTCTGTATCATTTGCTAGATGAGGGATCTAGACATACATTCAAAGAGAAAACTGACCTTCTTTTGATCCTTCAACAAGAATGCAATAAGAAATATAACAGACCATTAGGACAACCAAACATGATATATTTTCACTTATGTTACATACATGATGACTTAAGCAAAATTATTAAGGAAACATCACAGCTAACAAGCCAAAAAAAGAAAACATTCATTTTGCAAGTGACAAAACATTGAAAAATAGCCATGTTAAAATTAGGAAGACATTGGTTTCATGCCCTCTAATTATGAATATTACAATGTAGTAGATGACGTTTATCATCCAGTATTGGTACACATACTTCATTTCTCCCTTTCATTCCATACACATCCCTCTTGGCTTAATTTTCATAACAATATTAGGTGAAGAGCACAAATTATGAAGCTACTACATAATTTGTTTAGATACTTCATCTGCCTTAAGTCCAATAATCTCCCTCAATATTTCTATAATACCTTCAACCTCTTCCTCCCTCAAGAGTGTGGCAATGAGTTTTACATCCAACAGAACCTGCAATACAGTTCAAACTATACTCCTCAGAAGCTACACAGAGCATTGCCACTAAATGATTTGAATTTATTTACGTTCTGTAAATCCAACTACTGGTTGACATCACAAGATTGGTAACAAGTCAAGTACAAATATATAATATATCTACAATAATAGTTTTGCTTTAAAAGTTAATAAGATTATGATACAATATCAATATTACCATGCATTGAATGCATACACCACAGACTGCAAATAAGCAAAATGATACAGTAACATGCTTGAGTATACTCTTTAGTTTCGAATTTACACTAGTTACTGTTTGTTTATATTAAAATATTCATCTATGGCGTAGAAAGAGTGACTAAGTAAGTAAGTAAGTAATATTTCAATGGTGTTTTAAATTGCTTAATAATACCAGTTGATTTTTTCAGACTTTGAGGGAAGTTATTGAACACTTTGATGCTGAAGGAGTGAACTCCTTTTCGATATAGAAATAGCTTTGAGGAATGTTGGTGGAAGTTGAGTTTTTACTTGTATTTATATCACTGGTGTCAGAATTTACATTGTACATGCTTTTGTTGTCTATCACAAATAATAAGAGTGAGAGTGTGTATTGTAAATGAAACGGGAATATTTTTAAATTTTTAAATTGTCTCTGCAAGAATCTCTATTCTTGCTTCCTGTGATAATTCTAATTGCCCTCTTTGCATTTGGAAGATTTTAGTGTTACCTGCAGAGTTTCCCCAGAATATTATTCCATATGACACAGCGGAGTGTAAGTAGGCATAGTAAACCATTATTATTACTACCTGAGACATATAGGGTTTAATAGATCTAAGTGCATAACAAGCTGCACTAAACACATGTAGTAACTGCTCAGTATGTACTTTCCAGGACAGTGTACTGTCTATAATTAATCCAGGATATTTTTGTTATGTGTTTTAAAAATGTTTTGTTACCATAGCTTACATCCAGGTTAATTTGGGGTCCATTTTTAGTTGTAAATTTTATGAGATTTTTTTTTTTTCTTTCTCTCACCCCCCCCCAAAAAAAATTAATGGGAGACTATTGACTCTGAACCATTCATTTAAGTATTTGAATACGGTCATTACGTCACTTATAAAATCTAACAGAGAATATAAGTAACATTAAATCATCCAAGGAAAAAATAAATAAATAAAAAGGAGGGGAGCATCCTTGATGATGGACTTAAAAATAAATTACGCTACAGCATTAACACATACTTCTTTTAGTTTTTGATATAATCCAAATTCAATGTTCTCATTGCCTTCTAAACCACCCTTGCAAAATACAACATAGAACATGAAATGAAGTAACAAATGCCACTTCTCTGCATCTTCTCCACAACGACAGAGAATATTTCAGATGGAGTGGTGTTCAGGACAGTTTAGTAAGCCAATCAAGAAAGCAGCACGAAGCAGGCAGCAAGCAGAGAGGAACAAAGAATTAAGTATCAAGAACACAATAAATTCCACACACTCTTCAACTTGCACTGGGTATAGCATTAGCCTTCTAGTTGTGTGAAATGAGTATGTTTCTGTAAGATGCTGAAAATGATAATCTATCCAAATTTGGTCATATCCAATACCTTACTGTGGAATTTCCTTACATGATATATATATAAATCTACGGTGGGCTCTTGTGAACATGGTAAACTAAATAGGTTTAACAAAAGAGCAAATTTATTGGCCACCGGAAGGACTATCAGTTTCTCAGCGACCCTACTCCATGGAGTTCCATAATAATAAAGATGCATGGACCACAAATGAAGAAAGCAGTCTTCTGGGATTTGGCACGGTCTTGTCGCTTGCAGATTTCTTATACTTTTTCTTCTACCCTGAAGATGGAGGCGATACGTTCCTCCGAAACGTCGGTTAACACCACATATACACGGTGCCAAATCCCAGAAGACTGCTTTCTTCATAGTCACCGCCGTGAAAGCCTCAAATCTTGCATGGACCACATGCTTAACATTAGTGTGGATGCATTTCAGGCAGAGGTAGCAGGTTACATTATAATGGTTCATATGCATCATTTTAATAATCATCTTAAGTCCCTACATCCAAATTGTACATGCCTATTTTAAGTACCTGAAATAAAACTTTCTATTCCTTGAATACTGAAGGTGTGTGTAGTCACACATTCATTTAGTGAAGCAGATTCATAAGACACATATCAAAATTCATTAAACTGAAATCCTATTTTTTCTCATTCTTTTTCAAGATTGGCATCATTTTATTCTTTTTTAAACATGACATTAAATCTCTGTAATTGTTTTTAAAAATCAAATCAAGGAATTCTGAACATGACAGCCCAAATCAACAACATTGCTACTTAGAAAACACATAATTATCATTACAATCTCCAATTTCATTCACACATCAATGAGTCTTAGTGTCTCCTTGCAGCTCTTGATCACCTTTAGTGCTAGTTTAATGTTCATGGAGAAGTTACCTTCTTTCCTTCTGTAACAATGAGAGCAATAGCCTGCTGTCCAAGCCCACGGTCATCCCTATCTGGATGGGCCAGCCATCTCCGTGCTTGTTCCAGCCTTCCTGATACAGTGTGAGCAGGCTGCTGTACTCCAGACTTTTCCACTCCAATAACAGCTCGCTGTACAAGCCCACACAGTTCTCCCAACTTCTCTTGAATGCCATGAGCCAAACACTCAGCCTAAAGCAGAAACACAAACAAGAAGGAAAAGTTTTAAATATCTCCCCAAATGACGTATATTTTGTAAATCTATTACAAAAACAGTCACTCTTATTCTGATGACAATACTTACACAAGCCAAATGACTGGTGTGTATGTAGCAAAGACACAGTGAACAGCATGAGTAGTGGCTTATTTATACAATACAGGTTATTTAGGACTACTGTTGAAAGAGAAGAGCTTACACAGCACAAGATAAAAAAAATGGTGGGATAGTTATGACTTATGGGTGTCAGAGGATATTAGAGGACATAGCTGTGAACCTAAAGCACTCTAATACGTTTGCCGAACTGATGAAAACAATAAGAACCTCAAGACACCAGAGGATTCGAACCAGTACTTCCTGAATATGCAGCAGCACTGTTCAGTCAATGATGCTTGTGTTTTGCACATTATACAGGAATTCTGATAAAATATGAGTGCAACATACTATGACATACTAATAACATAGGCCTGCAGCAGTTTGGTGCCTGCATAAATTATGCAGTGCATATTACCTAATTATGCTTTTCTTATTCAGTACTACATTTTAAATCGTTTACATCTGTTGACATTATTTTTGCTGATAAGATCATTCAGTTGTGCAGAACAAGATATGGGTACCATAACAGATCATGTGTTAGTAAGGATGTAGGAGGAAGCAGTCACTCGCCATTCTTAATATGATACATCTCAAGGAACTGAAGAAAACAATTACAAACTTTCAAGCAGAATACTCTGTACATGAACTGAGGTGAAAATCACATCATTCTGAAGTTAAAGCAGGAGTGTCATCCAATATATGTGATATTTGATCAGTGTTTTAAATTCTGGAAGATATTACCTGTGGTGTAGCACCTTTTCCATCTTGTCGCAACTCACAAAGAGCATCAGTCATAGTAGTAATGTCTCCACACAACTTCTTAATGGCTTCCGCATCTGCAGGCAGGGCACGTTCACAAACCCTCTGTGAATGTTCCAATATCTGCCTCACACTCTTCTCACCCACACCACCCCTCAGAGCCAATGGATCCTACAGAAAGCATAAGAGCAAAAGAATTATCAGATATTAACATATCAAGTATCACAAAACAAAGAGAAATTCAGGAAATTTATATTTTGTCATATCAATACTCTTTATGCAGAGGATCCTTAAAATTTATTACTAAAACACAACTTTTTATTAAAATGAATATTAATACAATGTGTATCAAGTATTGCTAAGTCACCAAACACATATAGTCATTTATAAATTTATGAAGTAATGTCTTCCTGAAAAATACTGCATAAATCATAAATATGTAAATCAAGAGCTAATTTTCCACACAAAATGAAAGAAAATGGGAAGTTTCATGAACAGCACAAACTCACTCAGAAGGCTATAGATAATCATTCATATAAAATGTTTTCTTTAGTTTCTTATTTTATTTTAAAGATTACCATACTTCAGATTTTATATCACCACTAGATGCATCTATATATACAAAGTTTCTACTGCCTTCATCATGATGCTGTTCTCCTCCACGCTGCCTGTTAATGGCTCTGTAATCACATTCTTCAATCGTGTTCCCCAAGTGCATGTAAATCAAGAAATACCTGTACTGTACCTTCACGAAAGCAACATAAAAGATGAAGGAGTCATCTTGCAATGAAAACCTAAGTTTTAATGACTGGAAACCTTCAGTTTCAGTTCAGTGTTTTGTGTCTGATTCCAGAAATTTGTTATGTTAAAAATATGTCTGTCACTGAGTCCATCCTAAGGTACCTAGTCCCATCTACAGATAGGAGCTACACATGCAACCTTATTATGGTATGTTGAAAAAAACTTCTGCACCTTTTTTTTAGTTATATCCCTATTATCCTAGGTATGCAATATCAGTGTGAGGAAGAGAGATCAAAATATCATCTATGAATATGATGGATACAGTTTTTAAGGTCTCCATGCAAATGGTTTTGGTATTGAAACCTTGTGGAAACAAGCCACCTGAAAGAGCTACACACAGCTGAGCAAGATGTATAAAGCAGATGACTTAGCAAGGGCGTAATAACATTCTTAATGATCTAAACAGTCTTCCATGAAATTTCCCCACCAAAGTAATCCACAGTCAAATTAATTTCATTCACAATTTTACATACAAAATGCATAACAAGCTGCCAAAACTAACAGTTGTGTCAAGGTTAAAATCTTAACAGAGACTTTAGCACACTTTCATATAAGGAAATGAATTTCAAAGTAAGTGGAATATATTTAACAACTCCAAAATTACACAGCATTTTCAGCAATCTTCTTCACATTCATGAGACATTTAAACTCACTTCCAGCCAATCATGGGCAGCCCTGACTTTTCCTTCAATAGCATTCTGAGCCTTCTTCATGACAGTTAAGTTGTCAGCATCCCATTCCTCTTCATCGTATGTTGTCAGCTGTAAGACTCGAATGATTTCATTTAGTTCATCTGTCATGCGCTGTGCCAGGTAATTACGATTCTCTGCTGCTTCCTCTGCCCCCTTGCCACCTAAAAACATTATAGAAATTCTATTTACAGATTATAATTATTATAGTAAAGCTACTCCTAATTAATAATTACATTATAATAACTATTATTCATCCTTTGAGCAACGTAGATTAAACAAACAAACTGGTCAGTGGTTAAACCAGCTCCAGAGAAAAGACTGCTTATGTGATGCTAACAGTCATTCAGTCAGTCAAGAAATTCTAATTTAACGCTTCATTACCACATCCATGTAAGCCCTTGACTGGACCCTGTCCTGAGCCACATGAATCCAGTTCACATCCTCATACTTCACTTAAGATCAAATTTAAAATTATCGTCCTATCTATAACTAGGTATCCGACGTGGTCTCTTCCTTTCAGGTTGTTCAACTAAATTTTGTATGCATTACTCATGTACCCCATGTGTGCTACATGCCCTACCAACTTCATTCTCCTTAATATGGTCACACTAATAATATCTGGCGGCATGTGCTGGACATTATGCAATTTTCTCCACCTCATGTTACTTACCCTCTCTTAGGTCCACATACTGCCCCTTGCATCTGTTCTCAAATACCCTCAACCTGTGTTCTTTCCTTAGTGTGAGAAACCAAGTTTTATAACCATTAACAGGCAAATTACAGTTATATTACATTATTTAGTATATACAGTAGAATTAATTTAATGTGCTTTGAAGACACCAATAGATAAAACTCTTAGTCTCTTTAAGACTGACACACTAAATACAAAACAAAGTCACTGATGACAGAAGCTGAGAATGTCTGCTTTACTGACAGTAAAATCTTACTATACTGATTAGCTCTGTTTATGCAATGCCTTCATACTAAGCCAAAACAAATTCTATGTTAATGCTACAACAAAGGCCAACTTTACCTTATACGAGGTTTGGCAAATAAATTCTGGGACTGAGTCCATTACGTGCATCTAAAAAAATGCAGGAACATGTTTCAACATGTCCACATAAGCTGACTCTTCTATCATGTTTCTTGGAGAAGGTCAATCACTTCTCTCTTGTCATTCATGCTCAGTCGTGTTTAAGATTTAGCACTGTGGACGTCACCGTGACAGTTCACAGTGATGGAGCAAACAGCAAACGTTAAGTTTTGTTTCAAGATTTGCAAAACAGCTACTGAAACGTTCCAGCTGATAAAGCAGGCTTATGGTGACAATACTCTCACTTGTGCATGGGTTTTTAGAATGGTACGCAAGAATTTGGGAGAGCTGGGAAAATCTTGAAGATAACGAATGCAGTGCATGACCAACAGCCATTTGAACATCTGACATGATCGAAACAGTTCGGGAATCGGTTTCAACTGATCGCTGAATGACTTTACAGATGATGGAAAAGGAACTCAAAATTAGCAGAGAAACAACTTGCAAGGTTTAGTGGAAAATCTTAGAAAGATCTGTGCTAGCTTTGTTCCATACTGTTTGACACATCAGAAGAAGGCTTTCAGGCTGGAAGCAGGTCAAAAGTTTATTCAGTCTGGACATGATGACTGTTCCTTGCTTGACTCAGTTGAGACAGGTGATCAGACCCGGTATTTCCAGTATGATCCCCAAGCAATAAGACAAAGCATGGAATGGGGCACACCAAGTTCTCCAAAACACACAAAAAAAAATCAATTTCAAAACTAAAAAAACAAAGTGATGCTGGTCACATTCTTCAGAAGACAGAATCATTTACAAAGAATTTGTTCCACCAGATGAGATGGTGAACAAGGAATATTATGTGTAAGTACTGTCTTGTTTCGTTCAAAGAATTCATCAAGTATGATCTCAGTTTCAGGAAACAGGAAGCTCGTTCCTCTTGCATTACAACACAAGACCTCATACTGCTGTATCAATAAAGCAGTTTTTGGCAAAACAAGGGATTCCAGTATTAGAGTGTCCCCTATATTCTCCACATTTATACCAAAGAGGTGTTTTCTTATTCCACAAACTTAAATTCATGCTGAAAGAGTGAAGATTTGAAGACATGGAGGACACTTAGGGAAATGAAACAAAGGAACTGTTGGCATTACATGTAGGTGAGCACAAAAGTGTGTGACATATCAAGATTATTTTGAGGAATATTAAAAGATATTGTGGCGTTCCACCTAAAAGCCAGAATATAAAAATCAGAGGGGGCGTCCATTACTAGACAATGGCCTGCTAGTCATGTTCCTGCATCATTGTCTGGGTGACAATTAAACATGTCATGTGATGATGCATACTGTGATGAGCAGCCTGAAAGCCACAACCTGCACATCTTCTGGGCAGAGCTTCACAGGACATGTTCCCGAGGTAACGCGAAATACACCATGACATTGGGTTTTGATGGAGATATTGGAGACATATCCATGGTAATGACATTCTAAACAGACTGTGTATACAGATATAACAAAAAGGAACTCTTCAAGGAGGTGATTCCTATCCCATCCACCTAGTATGAATAAGTGAGAGTTGAGAGTTCAGAGAGGTCAGATTTGAAGACACAGAGCAGAAGTGAAAGGAATCCAGAAGACCAGAGGTGCAAGACACAAACAACAGTGAGGGATCTGGTATCCAGAAATAGTTGAAGGTGTGAATTATTGTAACCGAGTGTAAATGTGTTAGCAATGTACTACAATAAACCCAATGATCAACTAAGAATCCACAATTATTTATTATTATTAAGTGTTCAATAAGTCATTTCAAACCTTGCGCAATTATGTGAATAAAAATCTTCATGCTGCAAATCAGGATGGGCGCCAACGTCTTAACTTGCTCCAGACAACGAACTAAAATCTCTCTGTGCACTTGGTGAGTGAGTTCCTTCTCACGCCCACCAACCTCCCGTGAAACCTGCAATAACACAGTTTCAAATGTTAAACCTGTATTCATCAGCATGGAATATGAACCATTTTAACGCATAAATTCTAGGAACAGGCACATTTTTAATTTACAGTATATAATCAGATCACACAGAGTGTACCTGTCAACATTTCAGTAGTAGATTTACAGAGCATGTACTATTCATATTCATACTCAATATTCATCTTATTGTGGTGTATTTGCTCTATGCAGGAACTGTTGAGCCACAGAGGCCTCGGGGCACAAGTGCAACGGGAGAGTTGCGGATTGTATCGGCGCATTGCTAGGCGACAACTCTGTGAACGCTTTGATAGCGCAACAGGAAGTGCAAGTGACATCACATATCCCCGCTCATCACGTCACTACTCAACGCTTGATAAACACCCCCCCCCCATGCTAGTCTGTGGCGTCATGCAACAGTGGAGTCCATGCAGCGACTGTTGCTATGCAATCGGTCAGTAACACATCCAACAATATAGGCTGTATTCTGTGTGGTCCGTGAGAGGCCTATGTAAGGGGGTTCAGTGCACCAGACAGTTCAGTTGAAATACAGCAGCCGCAGAAGTAAGTTGAAATACAGAAGCCACCAAAGTTCAGTTGAAATATAGAAGCCGCCAAGCACAGTTGAAGTCAGGAAGTGACGATAGCAGAAGTAACTGCGACAATAAAATTGTGAATTGTGTAAGTGTGGATAAAAGTGTGCAATAAATTCGCTAGATCCAAGCCCAGTGTGGAGTTATTTGTCATGTCACACAGCAACACATGATAATATATTAAATTTCACAACACTATCAACAAGGCTTCAGCATGATCTTTACATTGATTCTTGCATCAAACTCTACTCTTGTTAATGGTGATGGACTAGACCCAGTCTACTGTGAAGTCAAGAGACAGGCTGCAGGTATGAGATAGTGAGATGTAATAGTTCTGGTGTGGAAGAAAGACAGAAGCATGGCAAAGGACCACTCACATAAATACATAAATGCGCCAATAGTATGAATATACAAGGTATAACAATTAAGTAACAGGGATGACCTTTTCAACAGCAGTGACTACATGATGCATCACTTTTATGACAGTTATTCAGATTCAGTTTTGTGGCTGCAGGGAGTGCCTTACTGGCAGAGTATTTTGTTTACCTGTGAAAACTGTTGGAACATAGAATCAACACTACAATTTAGGGCCATAAAAGAAAGATTATAATGGTATAAACAAAATGTTACAATAATGCTGTAGTGGAATGTCATGTAATGTTATAATACAACTGTGGAGAGTTTCATCAGTGTTAATGTTACATCAAGTTTAATGAGAGAAAACAGTAAATGGGAAACAAGCTATATTTAAATTAGGCATGTGAAAATCTGAAGTTTTTCTTACATCAAACAATGGAAAAAAATATCAATCTCAATTCAAACACTGACTTTTAAGTCTCAAACTTCAAGAATTTTTAGATAGCCATTACTGCTTTGCACAGAAACACACAAACTACCCAATCCATCAAAATCATAATGGTTGGTAGCGCTAGCATGAACTGACTTGTCAGTTTCTGCCCACTATCACATGTACTCACTTTACTGAGGCAGGGACTGAGGTCCTTAAGAAATTGAACAAGATCCTCCATTGTCTCTATAACTTCTGCCACTGCCAGATAGTCCAGCACCCTCTTGCATTCCCGAATAATCTTCCGAACTTCTGATTCATCAAAACAAAGCAGCAAAGCAGATGTTCCTTGCAGAATGCCTCGGGAGCCTTCAATAAGCTTCTTTCTGTGCATTTAAGTTTAAACATTTTAAGAGCTAAATGAAACATGCAAACATGCCACACACTTGCATTTGTGTGTGTGTGTGTCTGTGTGTGTGCGTGTGCATGTGCACACATGCACATGCATTCTGTAACTAGTCAGTCATAATTATTATGCTGTCTGCTTCTGTAAGTACACTATCAGAATGAAATACCTACATCAGTAGTTTTTGCAATAGCAAATACTTCATCACTGGTCTCATTAATTTCAAGTAATATACTCATACCTGGCTGGACCACTGTATGGGTCAACCTTCAACATAGCAGATGCCTCCTCTAAAAGACGTGATGCCCCTTCCACCCTGATTAGTGCTGCAGGCATGTCCTGCTTCAGGATTGCATCCTCACTTGAGTTGATAGTTTCACGTCCAACCTAGAACAGTAAAATTTTATATTCATTAGTCACAGTAACTGACAAACAGGAAATCCTCTATAATAAAAAAAAAATATTAAATGTAAACAATAACAAAAATTAAAGTATCGAAATTACAAATATTTAACCTTCACAGTAGGTAACCCCATATTTGATACACTTACTTACTTACTTACTTACATATGGAGCTGAACCCTTCTTGAGGAGAAGCCAAATGTGCAGCTACTCAAGAACTTCCCAGCATCTTATGGAACCCAAAGGTTCATCACCGTGTTCACAAGAGCCCTCCACTGGTCCCTATCCTTAGCCAGATCTATCCAATCCATCCCATCCCATCCTATCTCTCTAAGATCCATTCTAGTATTGTTCACCCATCTACACCTTGTCTTCCCTGTGGTCTCTTTCATTCTGGCTTTCCCACCAATATCCTATATGCAGTCCCCGCCTCCCCCATTCGTGCTACATGACCTGCCCACCTCATCCTCCTTGACTTGATGATTCTACTTATACTTGGTGAAGAGTACAAGTTATGAAGCTCCTCATTATGCCATTTTCTCCAACCTCCTGTCACTTCATTCCTCTTCGGTCCAAATATTCTCCTCAACACCCTGTTCTCAAACACCCTCAGTCTATGTTCCTCCCTTAATGTCAGAGACCAAGTTTCACACACATACAGAACCAGAGACAAAATTATAGTTTTGTATATTCTAATTTTTATGTTTTTGGACAACAGACGAGAAGACAAAAGGTTCTGGACTGAATGGTAGCAAGCATTACCCAAGTTCAATCGCCTCTTAATTTCCTCCTGAATCAGGTTTCGATCTGTTATCGTTGTTCCCAAATATCTGAACTGTGCCACATTTTCAAAACATC